CGGCGTCGGGGTTGGTCATCGTCGGAGCGTAGGCGCTGATGATTGTGGCGAATTTGCCTCCCCAGAGAGGCAGGCGGAGGCTCATCAGGCGATCGTTGATGCCCTGCGGCAAACAGGGCAGTCGTCCCACGATGTCGGTCCGAATGGCGAAGGCGACACCCGCGTCCCGTCGCTCTGCCCTGGGTCGACCGCTCCAGAAGAAGGTGTAGCTGGCACCCACCTCCTCCAGTTGGCCTTGTTCGGAGAATCGGGTCTCGGTGAGTGCGGCGATGTCCACCTTGTAGCGCGCCAGTTCCCGTGCCACTAGCGCCGTCCTTCGTTCCGGTCGGTTGGTCCTCGGATTGTCTAAAAGGGAACGAACATTCCAGGCTGCCAGAGTGAGCGGGCTCACCCTGCCAGTCTGGTGACAACGAGTGGGGCGACGGGAAGGAGATGGAGAAGAAGGTGACGAAGGAGAAGAATAGACAGAAGAATAGACGGAGGTAGAGGTAGAAGAGGTAGGATGAGGAGGTGAGCGAGTATTGTTGTTGTTGTTATAGGTATTGTTGTTGTTTCGATTTTGATTGTTTCGACCATGTTTAGACGTCTGCGGCCCTGGCTAGCCTGGAGACGGCGTGGTGCCCAGCAATGTTAAGGCCACCATTTCTAGGCCCTTCCCCTCGTGTGGGCTGGCAGTGTCATCCCTGAATAGGGCTGCCATGTGCCGTTGTGGCACGGCCGAACTCCACTATGGGACCATGACTTCGGGTTGTAGTGGAGAGCGACTCGAATTCGCGTAAGCCGCGGTCTCCGACGGCGTAGGTGGGCGCGTCAAGGCGATGTCGATGTGAGGATCCATCCCGTCACCGGCTGTCCAGCGGCGTGCAGAGACGAACCACGTCACGACGGTGCCGACGCAAGGTTCCATCCGACCATCCATCCAGCGGAATCCGCAAACCCTGTGCACACGGCACAGCGCACAGGGCCTCCTCACCTGGTTAAGCCCGCCGGTCGAGACGGTTGCCCGGGGTGTGGCCGCTGAGCAGAGCCCAGCTACGTGGAGCCACAGGTGAGAGTTGAGTGTCAGCAAGTGAACGCTAGGCGTAGTCTCACCTGCAATCAAGTGAGCGATCACCACGTCCATCACGTGAACCCACCGCTGACACCCCTACACCCCTACTGCCGATAAAGAAAAGGGAGACTGGAAGGGCCATTTCTGTCGTAGTAGCCGTCGTCAGCCAGTTATACCCAATCCCGAAGTGTGGAAAACTCGAGGCTCGAACTCTCGACCTGTTTATTATAATTCCACCCCTCTAACCACTTGACCACGAACCCGTCGCCCAGTCGGTTTCGATTCAGAATATGTAATGGTAGGGGGTTAACGATTCCAGTCTCCCTTTTCTTTCTCGGTAATAACATACTGCCTATATCATGCGCCGCTGTGCGGCTGCTGACTGGGCTCGAGAGAGAGCCCGTAAGGCACAACAGAACGAGTGAGTTCCGCAAGAACGACCCGTGAGTGTCCCCTCCCATTGTATATTCCCGATCGAAACCGAGATGACAACGGGCTCGCAGTCAAGTGATTAGAGGTGTGGACTTCTAACTTATAGGTCGCGAGTTCGAGCCTCGAGTGTTTCACACTTCGGGGTTGGTGTGACTTGCGGACGACGGCTAATAAGCCAGAAATGGTTATTCCAGTTTCCCTTGCCTTGTCGGTAATGACACAGGCTTCACTATCCTATGAAACACGATTATCCGACCTCGGCCTATTTCCTCGGAGTTACAGACAGCAAGGAGGCGACCTGATACACACATTCCTTAGCATGCGCGGTCAGGACTGCAGTCTTTTACCTGCAGGCTTATTTGAGTTTGCAACTACAACGAGTCTCCGAGGTCATCCACTCGAAGTACGCGTTACTGGCGGCAGGCTGGACACACAATAGTCCCTCTTTACCAACAGCGTGGTCGAGGCTTGGAATGGTTTACCCGTGGATATCGTCATTTCCACATCCGTCGAGACTTTTAAGCGCAAGTTGGATCGGTATACCACAACACATCGCAATGTCATCCGACCGATATCACCTTATAATTCCCCCCCCCCCAACAGTTAACTATTGCCATAAGATTACTGCCTGCATTTCAGTAAAGTTCACTTTTACTCTTTTATTGTCCTAAATCCAATGAATGTGAATTTTGACATTCACTTCGTACCCTCAAAATTACTGAGGTTATGCCAATATTGTACGGCTCAATTATGCATAGAGTGACTACTGTACAGCATACTTAGTAATCAAAATTGTCTTAACACTTGGAACAATTCGTTTATCGTTCGGTTTCGAAGAAAACTTACGCAGCTGTTTGATGTTTCCACTTTCAAATGTTCGATGCAATTCTCTTCCTTGTAACAAACAGGGAGTGCAAAGGTTCACCACCTACGTTCCCTAAAATCAATTGAACTGCTCTGAATCATTGTGTTCAAACCCATTTACTCAGCGACTACCCAGCACCATGTCCGGATCGCGTAATCTGTGCATGTACCGGCATTCAAGACATAGAGGATGATTAATCTGTTCTATTTTAGCACAGGCATGAGCAGGGTGCGCAGATCTTCGTAGCACATCGACATGACTTGGCATTTGGTTAGGGGGGAGAGCCCGTCGTAGACTTCAGCGAACTACTCCCAGCCGAGTGGGGACTTCTAGGTCAGGAAGCAAATGCTGATTCTTCG